TATTTAAAAAAAAAATTATTAAATATTTTTATTTTTAAAAAAAATAGATCAGACATGAATTTATAAAATTTAAGCAGACAAATTTACCTGCTTATTTGGACAGTTTAAGGGATACAGTTGACCCTCATTAATATCAACCTCGTTAATATCAACCTAAGCTACAACCAAATTTTTATAAATTTTTATATATTAAAATCCTCTCATATATATCAACTTTAATATAAATTTTCATTAATATCATATCAATATGAATATAATAGTGATCCAAATAGGTTGATATAATCGAGAGATAACTGTATAATAGATTTAATAGTAAAAAAGTTATATTATATATACTAAAAATTATTGCTAGTTTATATATTAATTTATTATTAAATTCTAATCTATATTACAAATTTAATATAATTTAATAACTTAGCTTAATTAATATAGATCAAACAGTTTATGCTAATAATAAATTATTATTGTTGTTATTATACTAAAATTTAAATAAAATTTTCTTAAATCTTTTTTTTTTTAATATTAAGGTGACCACTTTGGGGTCTGGCACAGTTTATTAACTTCTTAATTCAATTATCAGGATACCAAATAGGCATCTCTTGACTTTGTTACATCAACGAGAGTACAATTGATCATATATACAACTTTAGTCATTGTTTAATTAAGGGCTCTGCTATATATATTTCTATTTATAGTTACTCACCAATTGCCATATCTAGGATCTGCTTGTGAATCTCCTATTTAAACCCTCTGATTGACTTAGTACTGTCAGATGCTTTCTCTAGAAGAATTTCTGCTGCTAAGGCCCCTTAGGACTACTTTATCCTGTGGTAAACCTATCAAAATGGTTCATGTCCCACACATATTTCACCTGGGTTTTTTAGAAACATACGCCCCAATCCAAGAACTGAAATTTGCGATCTTCTGCACCACTACTGTAACCTACTCCTTGTCTTTTACAAGATTTATTTCAATCCCGATTTCTACTTACAACTGATCTTTACGCCAATCCCTCCCCAACTACCAGACTAGTTAGCTCAGAAGAGTTGTTGTACCTAGGCTCTAAGTGCCTTCTAGTTTTACTTTTCTTGGTTCTGAATTCTGTAGCATCAAACCTTTTTCTCTGGTGTAACTCCGGTGGCCAGGTTGGTGGACCCTTCTTGCCCCAGGGTTGTTCATCTGGTTCTTCAATCTCTGGTTCCGGTTTTCTGTAATATCATTGAAGATCTTCACTACTTCTAGCTTGGGTCTTGCCAAACAGGTTTCAAATATTCTGGTCCTTGGATTTGGATCACTCTAAAGCTTTTATTTTGAGATGGTAATACCAAGATTACAGGTGATATACCCAATCGATCATTGAATAAATATTACCATAATACAGGCCTATTTTTCAAAAAACGTCTTAGGTGAGAATCGAACTCTAGACCTGCCACTTGGGGTAACAACTTAACCACTATTCTACATCACCACACCCTCCTTAAATCTTTTAATTTACTGTTATTTATATAATAAATATAATATATTTATTTATAATTATGTGAACAATAGGTTATCAATATTTTAAATATAATAATCTCTTAAAATTGATATAAAAGCTATCTACTATCAGGGTTAAACATAAATTAGTTAATTAAAACAATGTTAGTTAAATTGATTATTTTACTATAATCAAATTTTTATCAGTGAAATTAAAAATTAAATTAATAATCATTTTACATAATTTAATTATAAATAAAAACACTAAATTCTAAAAGATTTATCTAAACTTTGAATCTATTTTTCTAACTTCTTTTGATTGAAAAATCTTTACAAAAACTATTGTAATAAAATTATACTTGATTTTTTTGCTAAAGTTCACATTAGTTCTAATTTGCAAATATCTAGTAGAATTATTTTAATAAATTTAATATTGTATATTAAACAAATACTTAAAACCTTTACATTAACAAAAAATTCCAAGTATAAATCCTAACGAAGATAGTAAAAGGAGATTGTTTATAGACTTTTTCCTATCTGGTATAAATTAAATATCAGTGAAGATAAAAAAAATCCTGTTTAGAGTTCTGTTTAAAGACTTTTCACCTACCTGATAGATATAATTTGTACAAATCAAATACACTAAATATATATATACGTAACTATAGTAATAACTAAATTCATGCATAGTGTAACAGATAAAATTTCTTTTTGTTGTTATTCTCTTTTATTTTATTTTATCTTTTATATTATTTTGTCTTTATATATTAATATAGTTTTTATTCTCATTATTATTATTATGTATATAGTTCTTTTCCAATCCATTTCATAGCAGTAACCAATTTCTTTTTTTGTATAGTGTAAATATTTTAATCAAGTATACTAAAATAGTAGTTAATAGCAGCTTGGTGCTTATTCTATGCAAGTGTGTATACACTCAAAAAATCACATATACATGCTTACACAAATTTGTAAATTCTTGTGCCATGAACACATACACTTAAAAAAGTGTGCATATGTTCAAAAAGAGCGTATATGTTTAAAAAAAAGCATATACACTCAAAATTGAGTGTAAATGCTCTAATAAAACAAAATGTATATAAGTGCTTGAAATTCAATAAAGAGCGACAGTTCATGCCCACTTTCAATTCTAATAAACAATAAAGTGTATATACATATCTGAATTGTCCTTGTTCTTGTCTTTTGAATTCGACTTGTAACTTTAATAAATCCTTTTGAGACGCATTCAATAGACTGAATTGACTTATATCTTCGATTTGGCTTATCAAGACTCGGATTCTAGAATGTTTGTGGAATCAGATATTGCTATTCACATTAGTGACTTGTGGGAATTATGGTAGAAAACGACACTTACGACGGTTATTCGACTCTGGTAATCCATCACAGTCCTTAAGATCACCACTTTATTATCGCCCTTAACAGCATCAACCGTCATTGCATCACCCATTACAATCACTCATTGATATCAAAGTATTACTCTATAGTGCCCTATCGTCCTACTAGTTCCTTAACAATTATAAAAGACCCACTTAGCATCTCCAAGTTTATATTTATTTTCCGTACACCGTTGGAGTTAAATTGGCCTTTATCCTATAATATTTCTTAAGCTCTCCCAACGGTTACAATAGTAAATAGATAACCTACCAGCATCATACTGCTTTGCCAGCATTATAAAAAATCATGCGCATGATTCTATAATTTCATGCGCATCATGCGCATGATTATGCGCATGATCATGCGCATGTCATACGCATTGCACATCACGTCCTGTTGACTTGTTCTCCATTTGGTGTATTGTTATGATCCTATCACCTATGATCCCGCGAACTCCAAGACTAAGTTCTTCGATAAGCGATTTTTATCAAAATTATTTGTTGAGTAGGTTCACTAAAGGATTGTTACATATTAATCGGGCATATGAATACCCAATTATATGCATTAGACTTATTTTTATTTCACGAATTCCTTGAGTCATGAACTATTCATGATAATGCACGACAGGATTTTAGAAAATCACTCCTTAGATTATTATATATTAGAATTACAGTATTAGATTACAAATGCTTATTAATTATGACGATACTAATTATGACGATCTGATTAAATCATTATTGCTTTAACAAAAATCGACGCTTACAAATACATGATTATCATAATAATACCTAAATAAGCAAAATCATTATAACCATAACACCTAAAATAGGAAAAAATATAGCGCACAAAAAAGTTGAACGGGACCATCCCTCACACATTTCATGTGATCGTACTGGTATTAACTAACATAGGTTTGATTAATTAGTCCGTGCCCATTATGTATATCAGATTTGAGAGAGTATACTGTAATACCTTGTTTATGCTATTATGTTCTATTTAATCAAGCCTATCGTACAAATTTCAAACATTATAAAATCTTAGAACTAAATTTGAGAACTGAAAACCGAAAAGTATTCGTTTAGTTTTTCTTTTTTTCAGGTGAATTTTCGCGTGAATTCAAAGTTGGACAAGAATCTTTTTTAGATTTTCACACTTTGTACAGCTTGCTACCTACCTATTTCGGTGTTATTCGTGTTCAGAATTTACAAACTAAACTATATCACGAACAGCTACGTGTCTTCTCTAGACCATAATACCCAACGGTTATGCTACTTTTGCAACATAGAAAACTTTAATTATTGACCAATAAAATTAGTCAAAGAAATTCAACAGAAATTCTATATTTCATCTTGTATTACTTTTTATACATAATAAATTAACATATTGATGAAATTTGGCACTTGTAACAAAAAGGAATAATTTTGCCGTATAACATTGTAGTATTATTAACTAAATGCATTTTTAATATATATACACATACACGATGTACGTATGTCCACCACTTTGAGTCTGTTTTGTGTTACTAACATAACGTTACTCTAGTCAATGATTCTAAAATAATTTTGAGCTTTAAAATATCGTACGTAGATTACTGAATACAGTGACTAAACAAATAATATGAAAAAAATGTCAAAGAAATAAAGCATTATATATTAAAAGGAGAGAATAATTTTCATCTATTATGAATTAATTAATTATTTTATTATTTTTAAAAAAAATTAGCGACCTTTCTTGAAACGTAGTACAAGATAAAAACCCATTCGGAAAGCAATCGTTAAACCGACGAGCGCCAACTAGTTGAAATAAAAAAAAAATATTGTTAAAAATATTGAAATGAATTTAGAAATATATGTAAAAATTTTAAAGAATTCATACCGCCCATTTCGTAAGATCGATTTCAGTGTAACCAAAACTATTCAATACATCTTGACCTGTAAAAGTTGAGCTATTACCCGTTAAATCACCATATTTACAATCATATTGGTGAGGGGGCTTATCGGAAATTTTATCACATTCAAAAGTCAAACCAACAAAGTCATTTTGAATAATTGCTTCAAAAGCCCATTTTTGATAATCCAAATAATGAGCCCATTTCAAAGCTTTAGGAATTTTGTCACGCCTTACAAAGAAACCTTCGACAACCATGAAGAAACCATTAGCGAAAGCAACCAAAGTAAGTGCGGCAACGAAAATAGGGATGACTGCTGAAATAAAAACGACCATTGATTCAGCCACGATAAGAGCAAGGAAAAGATAAAAACCGAAGCGGATCGCATTTTCAAGATTATCATGTAGACCAATCATAGGGTAGGCCACAGCAGTAAATGAAGCGGCAATGATCATTACAAATGGAATAGCGATTATTGTATTAGCCAATACATAAGGACCAACTGAATAAAAATTATTTCCACGTTCACGTTGAAATACCAAACGTTCTTCCAAGAAACCAGGGATACCAGCAACGCTCATAAAAGCAAGGAATGCAACGGAAAAGAAATGAGCTGCGAAACGATCTTGAATATTTTCTTGCTTATAGCCGACTTGCCACCAAGTAATACCCATCAAAATACCTAGACACACGTACATAGCAACACGAACCCAAAACATTAAAATGTTACGCATAGCATTCTTGAACGAGCGTACGGTTAAAAACCAGGTCTGGGCAAAAAAACTACGAGCATAACGACTAGTTGAACGAGATTTTAAATACATATTAGGTTTGGTAATATTACGAATTTCAGCTAAAGTACTAGAATGTACTTTTGATTGTTCAAAAGAAACGATAAAATTATCAATATGTTTTTCAGCTTCAGACTTATCCACCATGAAATCAGAATTGATCAAACGAAGATAATGATCTGCAGGATTCGCATAAGGAGGGCATACATGACCTAAACTTTCAAAATATGAAGTAGCATTTTCACGTTTACCAAAATATAAAGTATGACCTCGACCAATCAAGCATAATTTATCGAATAGAGAATAAGTTTCTGTTGAAGGTTGATGAATGCTAGCAATCACAGTCAATTTATGTTTTCGAGCCATTTCACCAATAGATTTCATAACATGATAAGCGGCAGCAGAATCAAGGCCACTAGTCGGTTCATCCAAAAATATTATCTTTGGTAAGGTTATAACTTGACAAGCAATCGAAGCGCGTCGTTTTTCACCACCTGACACACCACGTATAAATACAGTACCAATTTTAGAGTTGGCTACTCTACTTAAACCGAATTCATCGATGATTTGTTGTACACGGATAGCCCTTTCATCTGCTCCCACATAGGAAGGAAAACTGCATACATAAGATATATTAGTAAAAAGATAGTATTAACTATAAATTACATTGACAATAATATTGACCATGGTTATATTGACAATGATATTGACAATGATATTGATCATTATTATATCGATAATGATAATTGTATCGACATTATATTTATTATATTGACCATAATATCATAATATTAACCATTATATCTATTGTGGCAGCATTGTTGAAATTGGCAGGTCTGAAATTTCGAATCATGAAAGTTTAAAAAAATTGGTTTCAAAAATTAAATTAAGATTTTGGATTAAAACTATAATAAAAGAAAGTA